ATTATCATTGTTATCATCATTATCATTATTATTACTATCATTATTATTATTATAATCATCAATCTTGTTGTATCATTATTATCATTGTTGTTATCATTGGTATATTTTTTCATTATTATCATCATCATTTATTATACTCATCATTATTATTGTATTATCATTACTGTCATTACATTATTATTATTATCATTGTTATCATCATCATCATTTATATCATCATCATCATAATTATTATTATTATTATTAATACTGTTACTATCGTTATTATCATGATGATAATAATAATAATTTTAATGGTACTATTACTACTAGTACTACTACTAATAATAATAACAATAATGATAATAATAGTATAATTATTGTTATCATTATCATCATCATTATTATCATCATCATTATTATTATGATCATTATCATTGTTTTCATTGTTTTCTGACATGTAGATTACTTATTCAGAAACGTGAACAAGACAATCGTAGTTCGATTTCTCTCGCTCTCTCTTTTCTTTTTTGTGGGGAGGGGTTGAAACTGGAACGACACATCTGATAATATTTGTGTGCGTCTGTGTGTGTGCGTCTGTGTGTGTGTTCATGTTTGTATGCATAAGTGTGTGTGTGCCTATACTGTACAGAATCAGACCCAGATGCCCCTCATATTTTCAGAAAAGACAGTTTGATCGTAAATTTCAGAACGCGTCATTTTCCCTTTATCTGCGGCTCTTGTGGACTGACAAGCTCCGATTCTGCCAAAGTATCCATTTTATGTCGATACACTCCTGCATTTGTTGTTCACCTGCACTGGGTGAACAAAGTTGGATTTTGTTCTGTTACAGTATTGCTGAATGTCTGTAGGAGCAGCACCTAGATCCCATATAGAATATAAGTCATACATACATACGTACTATTTTCATTTCTGTTTTTACTTGTGCAATATTTGTTTATAGGTGTTTATATGCAATATTTGTTTATAGGCGTTTATATGCAATATTTGTTTATAGGTGTTTATATGCAATGTTTATAGGTGTTTATATGCAATATTTGTTTATAGGTGTTTATATGGAATGTTTATATATATGAATCAAAGATATGACCGACAAGAAGTTGTGTTAGCAAAGCTGAGAATCGAGCACACAAGACTGACACAGAGGTCGATGAAGGCTAATTGTGAAACACGTTGCGAGGGATGATGCCAAAGGTCATGAAAGGTCACACTTGTATTGGAAAGATGTGCAGCATTTAGTGACCAAAGATGTATGTGTTTGTTTCCCCCGAATGCACTGTAAATTAGGGGAGGATTGTGAGGTAGAAAGTCTTATTAGGTTCCTGTGAGAGACTAATATTTTAAACAAAATTTCATTATGCATGATAATTATGCAGTAATTCTATACTTTTAAAGCACGATATCTATACTTTCATTATTGATATGGTATTCGCTGTCATTTATTTCTACTTATAAGAGACGCTTCGAATATTTCAACATTTTAATACTTAGTTCTTGACGCGGCAGATGATTTAATCACACACACACAAAACACAACACACACAGACACACACACACAAACACACACACACACACACACACACACACACACACACACACATTTACGTGAAATAATCCTTTAAACCCATCTTGCCCTGATACCCGTTCCTATAAAACCTTGGCGTCTTATGATTCACCGAACAAGCATAACAAAATGAGACATAATTAATTCCAACTTCACCCTGATCCGCTAACGAAAAAAGAAGAAGAAAAAAAAAAAAAAATACTCACCGAAGACCCAAAATTAATTCCCTCAGCCCCCCCCCCCCCCGACGCCTTCTTCCCGAAAACAACCGCAGAAACAGGAATATTTTCACCGTTCTACTTCGGACAACGGTTATCGAATATTGGTCTCTTTGGGTCATTTAGAACCGTACCCTTTCTTCGGCGACAGAAAAGGGAAGGGAAGAGAGAAGAGAAGAGACAAGAAGGGACTAAAATCCAATGCGGATTCTACCACTATCCAAATAGCGTGTCGATTTGTCCTTGTCGCGAGACCATAACAAGACTGGACTATAAGCTCTGCTCTGTACTCGCTCGCAATACTCATGTTGGGGTGAGTGGCTGGAACGAGTTTTTTTTTTTTTTTTTTTTTTTTTTTTTTTTTTTTTTTTTTTTTTTAGCTGTGAAAAAAATAACGTTCGTGCCTTTAACAAAAGTTGTTTTATTTTTTGGTATGAATGAACTCGTTCTGAGCATCATATTGGAATATACTAGTTATGTGTTGTATCATTTGTCATTGAAATTATGTGTTGTATCATTTGTCATTGAAATTATGTGTTGTATCATTTGACATGAAATTAAGGATCCTCAGGTATTATTTACGATTTCTTACATTCGTATGATGGGATTAAACGAATTTACGTATCTAAATATACTGACAATGGTTGCTCTGTCTCTGTTTCCCTCACGTGTCCCTAAAATATTGGAGTGACATGGATGTTAATTTTTGGTTCGTCGG